GCGTTGCAGCACGCAGGACGTCCGGATTCCGTCACACCGTCGAGAATTTTGTGCATCGGTCCGGGTTATTAAAAGCATGGGTAACAATCGGGTTGCTGGATCCCTTTCACTCATCTTACACCTTTACGCTTCACTTCACTTCTCCTACCTCCCCTGCTCTCTACTTCCCTCTTCTTCCCTCTTGTCAGCACCTCTCTTGATGCATCGCTCTCCAGTGTATTCCACAGAGAAGCATAGCATAACCGTCAGTAAATTGCATTTGACAATGCTTTCGAGCAGGGAGCCATGCTGTACTCAGTGGTGATTCTTCTCTTCGTCTTATTCTCTACGCTACTGTGTGCTTTAATATCAGTGCAATTACATTCATGCTTGTGCCATGCAGCTGTGCTAATTGCATTCTACTCTCCTCCCTCACTACATTCTCCTTCTCCATTTCTGCTGACATTTGCATAATGGACAGTGTGAGAGTGACGCTTAGGACAGGAATGGGGTGAGACACGGAGACAGGGGAAAACTTTAGCTACGAAGGCGATCTTTTGATCGGATTTGCTCAACATCCCATTGCAAACCTTTTGGCATGCCGCATACCGGAAAGGTAGAACCAATCATTTTAAGAGTAGTCTTAAATACTACTTTGCCATTTTCAAGAGGATCCTCCTGCTAATTAGTCTCCAAACATTTTATTGAGAATCACCCTACCTCAGTCGCACAAAATTCCCTCATTAAAAAAACAGGGGTAGACTAAGGTTTACTGACATTCTCTAAAAGTCGTACTTACTTAAGCCCATATAATAAATGCAAACGTCCTTCCCACTAGTACTTAGCCCTTTAGGGAAGTGTGTACTACCTTTGTACCTTTTGCTTACACATAACCGTGGTGAGCGTTACCTGCCCTTAGGGCATGACCTACTAGTGACTAAATGGGTGCTCAGTGTGACCCAATAGAAAGTGACTTCCTTTGGAGCCAACTATACGAGAACCCTCGTAAATGCCGATAGGAGTGTCTGCGCCATTCTGCTATCATCCTTGAAGTTACTCACGGCAGCTAAAAAGTAAATAGCAAATACCAATGAAGAACTATAGTATTAGCATGAACTTTCACGGCCCTCTTGTTTACGATTCAATTCACCTGCAGAGACATGAGTCTTTTGGGGCTGTAATGCATCTAAGTGGTATCGGAATACACGCTAATTTCCCGGATACAGTAGAGCTGGGGGACAAATAATTTGACTCGATATGCATACCGTAGAGGCGGCGTAAAAACTGCAGATTCTGATTTGCCTGCGTGCTTACACCGTAATTTTAGCTACCTGTGTTTCAATTGGCTTACTGTTTGCGTTAATGATGCTGGCACCATAATCTAGTTTAAACACCCATCATTGTTCGCACAACTTCCCAAAATCAGAAAAGCCCTTCATTTATCCTATTCTGCTTCCAACTTCTGTTATCAACTTGGAAAAACGGCGATTTGATCAAGCAGCAAGAAATTACCAAATTTACTAATTCTAAATTCAGTCTGATTTATTTTGTCAGACGGAATCAATGTGTGTTACGATGAAGCATTTACTAATTGCACAGAGATTTCTTGCCTTTATATCCATGTCCAGTAAGTGGAAAAGTACCCTGGCTCACACTCAGTTACACCGCCAGTCAAAAACTGAATCATGTCTCAGAAATGCTCTTTGTGAAATGAATCAGTACGCGATGCCTATATATCAAATTTACCGTTTGTCGCTTTACCATCAAACTTCATTCCCATGGAAAGAGTAAAATGGTTATACAGCTGGTATCATGTGCATCAGATGCCTTTCTTGGCTCAAAAGAACTGGCATTCTATACTTACCTATTCCAATTCAGCCGTTCTTTCATAGAAGATCCTTTATGCCATGCAGTTGAATCATTTGCCTTTCCCCTTTCAGATAACTTTCACATACGTGCATTATAATATTGAAGTGAATATGGATGCTAAAGGCAAGTTAGCTGTTGCCGCCATCATGATCCAGTGTTATAATGTGCTAATTTACAAGGTTTTTTTTTCTTAAAGCTAGAACAGGTATGATATTACACCTTCAATGTGAGTGGTGCCTAACGATAGGGCTCACTTCTAAATATATAACCACTAAGGAAAATACTTACATTCCTTTTCAAATACTTAATTTGGCATTCGTGGATTGCAACAGGTACAGCACAACAACCTTTCCTAAAACCGCAAAAAACACATCACTGTAGAAGGAGATAGACATAGGACTGTTCAAAATACCAGGGTTATTACAGAATCCACTCACTGACAATGCAGCCTCTACCCTGATTAAAAGCGATTTACTGCGTTATTTAACTAAGTGTTTATCCACACGGGATCGTCTCATGAAAATGTGCTTTGCACGGTGGCGCATTTGGTGAGCCATGCCTATGCACTTTTATCAACACTACGGGCCGGTGATGCTTCGTCATCTATGCACTCTCCTATGACTTGCATTAGCATATACTCAGAAAGGTCTCCTGTCAAGTGTTGTCACGGCTTCCCTTTTAAGGCAAATTTATGATTTAAATCATTTCTTTGATTGCGATTGATTAAAAGGTCAATTGCTTCTGCAGGAAATGACACTACTTGACAGAGAGCCATCGCATACATGACAGCATTTGCTACCCATGCATTGAACGCCGTGCGCATTCTTTTTGCATTTGGCTATCCCATTCTTAGCACTAAAGAATCCCAGCATATTCTTGCTTTTACCCTTTACTTAATTCAAAACCTTGAGTTCATTATAAGACACGAAGTAGGCAATTACCTCCACTAAGCTGTTGCCAAATGCCGCCTTATCCTAAATGAATTTAGAACAACGGAAAGAATTGCGGTTATCACTGCTTTTGCCATTGGTGATGCAAGTACTCAGAAGTTAATCCTGCTTAAGTAGGTGAAGGAGAAGTCAATTGCGACTAAATGAACTGAAATATTTGCGGATACATTCCGAAGTTAATAACACAGGCATACCTTAGCCATTCAGCCTCTACGCTTATGAAGATAGGGATGTGCGCACACAGAATCCACGAAGTGCAACAAAGTAAGAGAAAAAAGTCGATCGTGATGTTGGAAATTTTAACTCAGCCTTACTTCTGCCTTCCATTTATGAAAAGACATATGAGCATTCACTTGGCATTAGTTGATCATCCGCTTCCTTCCTTCTTGTTCTCCTTATTTCCTCATATTCATGAAACATCCTAATGAAGGTTAACGAGCTCCTTCCACATTCACTATATTACTAAATTAGAGAACCCTTTTTCGCTGCCATTATGAAAACTGGCTTGATGTATTGGTATAACGAAGAAAAGTGCAGATCATTCAATGGTTAGATTGGTGAATAAATGAATGTTTGATTAACCTCAGGATGCTTATAATAGGATGATTTAATTAAGGAATGAATAAAGTGCTTGAATCAAGGATAACTTGGTAAATGCTAAATAGATGAAGAAAAGTATGCTTTAATGGAGCCTCATCCAATTTTCTAATTTGCAACGCCTGCTTGACTTTTTGTCATTTGGCCCACATTGTGATTTAAAGTTTTGTATATCAAAAGCCTAACTTTTTTCAGTGCTTCTATATTTTAATATTTTAAGACTTCTTGATAAGTTAGTAATGGGGTTTCTTTGCAAAAAGCAGAAATTATTTTTCTTCGTAAAATGCAAAATCAGTCTTACCTGTTTCATTTTTATCCCACTTTTTAATTTAGGGCATTCATTAATGAAAAATACTAAAAGACAGAGTTACTGGAATCCTTTAAACGACAATAAGTGAGTCTTTACAATGGATTGACAGGACTTGCATAAGAAAGAGTTTGTTATAACTGAGCTTATAATGTACACTGACAATACATACGGTGTGTTTTGGATAGTAACTTTATTAAGGATTGATTTAGCGTTAAATATTACAGGATTTTTTTTAGTAGAAACAAAAACAATTATGCCAATTTCCAAAAATTCGGTAATTTTAGGAGCAGCTAGTGGTTGGAAGATGAACTGAAATTGATTTTGCGTAGGAATAAAGTATTTTTACCATTGCCATTGATGAAGTATCTTACCAATAACAGCCACTTTGGCCACATTTACGCATGGTCTACCTTTGCTAGCGTAAATAGTTAGTGAAGCAATCTTGACGTATATTTTTTTTCACTTTGTTGGACACTCCGTCGTGTTCTTTTAACGACAGGAAAATTAGGAGGCGACAATGCATCAAAAATGGGTAAAATTCATTGACTGTAAGAAGTCAGTGAAGAAAGGAAATCAAATGGACCCCTCTCATTACATGTGAATATAATGTTTAGTTTTCATCTTCCAGTAGGAGTGTTGTCTTCTTGATAAACGAAGGAGCTATCGTTGATTAATGTTTAGTTTGTCAAAAAAGAATATCTATTTTATACGATTAAACGGTGTAATCTGCTGTTCTTTTTCTTAACAGACAAATTATGCAGAACAATCTGGCACTAACCACCTCTACTTTCGTCTAGGCTCTTTTATGTGTTTGGTACAGCTCTCATGTTATTATCTGATGCTACTAGATTGGAATTGTACAAATCATCAGGAGGAGAGAAAATAAGAGGAAGGAGAAGCGTGAAGGTATGGTAAAAATGTAGTAGTATTTTGCTTCCATCTCAAATGACTACCTACTGTAGGTAACTTAATACCTGAGAAGCACTGTGTTACTTACGTGGGAAATGACATGCTTCGCAGTGGTGTACTAGTCTTCTCTGATTTTGATGAAGTAGGAGTACTTTTATACTATTACTTATGCCATTCACTGTCTGTGGTGATCTGGCAAAAATGTGGGTTAATTTATCTTTCACGGTAGTCCAAATAGAGGCTCATTCATTGATGCTATAATTTGACTTCTCGGAGGTGACTGCTGCCCATTACGAAGCCATCACTGACAGCACTGTCACAGCTTACCTCAAATGTGATCTTAGGCGACCGTATCTAACGTGCCTGATGTTAAATAACTAATCGCAGCACATCTGGGTGTTGTGCTACTTCGGACTGGGTTCGTTCTTGCTCAGATGACGGGTTAGGAACGCTAGGGGTTGCTGGCCCAAATTATCGCGTCTTACTCCTCTGCACCTCACTTCGGCGCAATTAACTCCCCTACTCTCTTCCTCTGCTGTCATTTTGAGTTTGCCTACCACCAAGTCCCCAGGCCACATCTAGAATCCCTTGTGCTTCAACTTTATTGCGTTACTTTGAATGTCCGTTAACACATTGCAGGAATTAATGCATGCGAGGAAGCAGCGATATGGCTGTGGCTGTGGTGTATGGAGCGTTCCCCTTGGTGTCAATGGTAGCATGCGGAATCACATGAGTGCAATTGCATTAGTATACTTTTAATACAGCTGCTTAGGCTGCAAATTGAAGAGCAAAAGCTTCTGCTGTTTGTTTTGCAACATGCTAAATTTCAAAAATTTTGGAGGTAATGCATGATGTTTTGGCGTAGTTGCTCCTTTTGGTGGCACTCGCTTGACATTTTTCTCATGTGGCATACACCGACTCACATTTTGCTGCCGATGCCACCATTTTTACCTTAAGAATAAAATTCGCCTCAATTTTTTCCTGTTTTATCTGCTTCATATCGTGCACCTTTTGATTTTCAAATTTTGGCAATTGCTACTGATCAAAATTTTTGAGTCGTATGCCAAGCTAGATGATTAACCATTTTTAGCACCTGAGAGAATCAAAGTGCGACCAACGTCCCTCATTTGTTGTTAACCTAATTGAATGCATGCATGCTTCGAGACTAATAAGCTGCAGAGGTGATCGCTCACTGCAAACGGCCACCAAATAGGGCTGCATCTTATGAAAATGCTAAGACACGCGGTGAATGAAAACATTTTTTCGCATAAATAACGATTCGAACTATAACATCATTAAGGTGGGTATCATTTTCTAGCTAGGTAAGTTATTTTCCAATGATAATTTATCTTTTTTCAACGCGTATTTTTTTTTTGATTTTATCTAGGTGCTTGAGGCATTCTGATGATAGGTGAATTAGAAAGTCATGTTGGCAAATGAAAAAATAATGCCAGATGGTGGTGAGGTCGATAAAGCCAGATTTCCCTTGGTGGCTCGAGGAAGTCGATCAACCACGTTACACGGCTGTCGCTAGTAGAATTACTCCACCTGCCACCACTTCATCTAAGTGGTAAATTTGGGAATGGGAGTATTGTGGCGCATATTATGGTCGTGGTACTGTGCAGCAGCCACCACAGACTGTGTTGTCATCACTATTCTCTGCAGAGTTGAAGCGATGATGTTCAAACGTCTCTAGCTCATCTGACATCTGCCGATTAAGTGCTTTCACTACGTGGCATGAAGTAAAAAGATGCAAGTAAATGCATAAGCAGTGGGGCTCATAGGCCAGAGCATACATTAGGGGATACGAGCAGTGCTTTTTAGTTTATCACTCACTTGACGATGATAAAATCCCACACTTTAGAACTACATAGCCCACAAGGCATTGTGAATGTATGGTGTAGTATGTCAGTGACGCTTCCCGCTAATATCCATTTGCAAGGTAGGAAATAAAAGCACCCTCTCTCAGAAGCACTCTACTTCCCCCTGTGTAAGTAAATGCTGCAGCTTGTTCGAGACATCATTTTGTTGATCTGTTAGGCATGTACACGTAGTTATGAGGCCAGGAGAACGGGTAGATGGGCAGACAGGTGGGGTGCCTTCCTTGGGCGCACTTCAAGTAAGGGGTCCGATGATGTCCCCTACGTAAAGCAGCATGACCAAGTTGAGGTCAACCGTGATCCTAAGTCTGAAGCCTTGACCAATCACCACCTGCCACCGCAGACCTGCCTTCTGTTTGAAACGATGTTTCACTATCTTTGCTGCTGTCTGCATCCAGTGAGTAAATACAATGCTTGGTGTGATGATTCCTGCACAAAATGCATTTTGCAGGGTAATACGGACGTTGCTTGAATTCCGTTTCACTATGAGGTCATTTGAGTAGGCCAAGTAGGCTATCTCTAGTTACCCAACAATCGCATATGATTTAAATTAATGCCAAAAGAAGTCTATGGCTAAAAATTCATGTGAGCAGAATTTTGGAACTCCAATACGTCTTACCGTTGCGATAGATAAACACAAAACATGATAAGTGAAAAAACTAGTTCCTAGAGTTAATTATGATATGCGTTGTTTGAAAAACTGGTTAAGTCTACTCTACAACACTAAACAGGATTACGTACATTGACAAGAAGATAAATAGTGGTTCCCTTAATGACATGTCGGTCCCACCCCAATCCTTGGCTTCTACCAATTAGCGCCTTACCTGTAGCTATAACTCTTACTCTGACCTAGCCACTGATTGATAAGATCCATTTGTTGAATGCATAAAGAACCTTTGGATTAGCTAACTAATCGGCCATTATTGCATCCACCTTTTCTATGCTCTTCTTCAATCTTTTCTTCCATTTTCACCCTCAAAACGGCTCCCCTTCTATCGCATCGCTTTCCGATACATTCCACTGGGTCTTAAGGCATGCCCATCAGTACATTATATTAGCCAACGCTTTTGAGGAGGCAGCCGTGTTAGTGGCACTGCTGCTGCCTCCCTTCGCCATATTCTCCATACTGTTGTGTGCTTCAACGTCTGTGCGTTTGGACACACCCTTGTGCCATGCAGCTCTGCTACTTATATTATATGTGTATTCCTCACTACGTTTTCTTTTCCTTACAGCTGTTAACAATTTCATGATGAAGAGTGCGACATTGAGGGCCAGAACTGGAGTGAGAGCAGCGGATAGAAAACTAACTCTAATTACTTTAACGTCCATTTGCATGCGATAGTAAGACCACGTGGTGTGATAAATGGATTTAAAAGGATTGTAAAGATAAAGCAATGAAAGATTGCTAAGCTGATTGAATAAATAAACGAAAAACTGATATGGTGTGAGGAATTTAGAGACGAAAATCGTGAAGAGTTGGGAGTTAGGCCGTAGAAGCTTCTGGTTTCCGTCACACTAATGAGGTGGGGCCGGGTTAGTACAGCTATAGGTGACGGATGAGGAACGCTTGGGGTCGCTGACCCAATTAAACATCCTACGCCTCTACACTTCCCACCGTTTCACCTACATGCTGTCCACTTTTCCTTCTTTTAAGGAGATGCTCAAATATTGGTAATTGGAATTCTAAAATGCAGTTATATTGCGCAAATACAGAGTTTAAATCTTCGGATAAACGAGGTACTTATATAAGTACACAAATCACCTGTTAGCATCCGCACACCAGAGTGTGTATTGTTCGTTTAAACGAAAGTCAAGAACTCATTTAAAGTCTATTTTGGGTGCAAGTGCAGCCAGCTTTATAACTGCATACAAATTATATGATTTGTGGACTGAATTTGCGTGGCTAGCCATAAGAGCTTTTTCTTTCATTCAACGGGATTTTAACATGGGGAGGTTCATTTTAACACCCTTTTTGGCACAGTCCTTAGCTGAGGATTCCAAGACATTTTGAACGCTACTCTTATAAAAGCTCAGAACACTATCATGTAACTGCTAATTTACCAAATAAATTACATATATTCTATTTAAGTTTTGTTCTCACCGGCGTATTGGGTCAGACTTCCCCTAAGCGTAACTTATGAATAAAAGCAATAGCAGCAGATGAATTTGCCTTGTTTGGGGTTTACGCTTTAGGCTGGACAACACCACATCTTTAAATCACTAGCCTACCCCATGTTGCTGCAATTCTGTAAATCATCACCTTCTTCCTCCTGTACCGACTTGCGTTACAGCAAAGCACCTGTTGCCACATGGTCAGTACGCTAAACTAGTTAAATGGCTGCCACTGAGCATGTTCTTAGGCAGAGTTAGATGGCAGGCTAAAAACCCCTAGAGTTTAATGCAAATGGATATCTCTTATAACATTAAGCTTTAAGTGACGCGTTTTAGCTAAAATAGGGCATTTACAAATCATTCGAAGGAATCCTAGAAGGATCTAAATAGGGGGCTCTGCTAGTCAACGGAGATAATACAAGTCAACGTGACGGTTGGGAAGCGCTAGGTGTGGCTGATCCACCTCACTTCATATCACCTACCTCCTCCACCATCTCTCATTACTGTCATTTTATGCCAAGAGGTAAAGTGAAGAGACACCTCTCTAATCTACCTATGAAAATTGCGAAAGCTGCAATAGGTGCCTAACAAAGCTTATTCGATCTATCTCACTCCTCATTTATTGACATATATGTGCCACACAATCTTGGAGTTGGCAAACATCCCAGTGTATTCACTCTTTTCAAGCTTCTAATAATTTTTGCATTAAATTTTAGGTCATTATTGAAGACGAGGCCAACGAAACGTATCTGTTCCTTAACGTATACAATATATGGACCAGGCTACTGAAAATGCTGCTGTAGTTTGAATAGTTAGCTTGGCTTCTAGTTTTGGCAAGCTGCAATTCAAAAATGATCTTCACTGCTGCATAAACCATTGTAAACAAATAGTTGACTTTATTGGACACCATAGCCGCCAAAAGACGGAAAGAGAGGGTAGAGGAGGTAGAAGTGAAGTGAAGTGTAGAGGCGTAGGATGTGTGGAAGTGAGCCATCGACCCCGAGCCTTCCTCATCCATCACCTTCTCTTGTACCGACCCGGCCTGGCGTAGTACAGTCTCCTTAGTGTGACGGAAACCAGAGGTTTCTACTTGGTGCAGTTGCTGCCGTTATTTTCCCCTTCAAGATTCATATTTCATCACGGATTCTTTTAATCCAGCTTTGCATTGCATCACTTTCCTCTTCCTCCAAACTGTCCATGGTTTTTGACACTAAATTATAAACACAGCTGTACTCATTCATTCGTTTATTTATTCTACCATCGATCCATCACTGATTTCTTTATGTCTATCTTTCCATCATGCCGCGGTTTATTGTCATCACATGCAGACACTGTTTAAATTATTTTGAGTCCATCTTATATCTCCCGTTTGATCTAAAATAAATAACAGAGTTAATATTATATGTGTCTGTGTTTATTAATCTACCAGCGATGGAAAAATAAAGGAATGAGCGAACAAATGGATGGATAAAATAATGCAAGTGGGTCTAGAATTTAGCAACGAGAACCGCGGAGAATTCGGAGGAAGTGGGAAGTGATGCAATGCGTCATTGGTTTGACAGCATGCTAGATAAAATATGAAACGTGAAGGACGAAATAGGACCAGCAACTACACCACGTAGATACCTGCGGTTTCCGTCACACCATCACACCCTTCCCACATTTATTAATGTGAAGTAAGTTGTGGTTATTTTGCTCGGGGAAGCACTCAGATTTGATTCTTTAACAGTAGTAGACCTCAGTTCATACATTCACCTTATTCGTTCTCCCTTTTATCTCAGGCTTCAAACACTTAGACAAGAAGAGTAAGTAGAGGAATGCACGTTATGCCACCGTAGTACAAGGAGGCCTAGAGGTTGCTAAAGTCTACTGAAAGTCAGAGTTTGCGATCGCCTTGCTTAGACTATGAGTGTGTGCAAAACTGACCACTTACCTTACCGATGGTATGCTAGATTAAACTTCTGTTACGTGTTGTTGCTAGTCCAAAGAGGGTGCCCAAGTTGACTTAAGCATTCACATGAAAGGAAAATATCGGTTGATGACACTTAAAAGGGCTTTGTAATAGTCGGATTACGTTCTGTCATCTTTATTTTGGCAGCTTTAAATATTTTCAGGTACCAGTCGGTGAATCTGTACTGGTTGCAAATTGAGAGATAGTGAGGGAGTGCAATGAGGTCTCAACAATTAGCCTCTCAAATGACTCACTTTTGCTTTGTTTTCCTTCAAACACATTAATCTGCTACACATATTACCCATCCACATGCTCCATTTTTTTTATATGAATTTCCGTAGCAAATTCGAATATCCACTAACACTTTTCATGGTTAGGAGCCTACTTTCCCAATTACCTAAACAAACAAAAATGGCCAAAAAATTCTTTACCCACGGTTTTAGTAATGCAAGATCTAGGGGATTAAGTCGTTGATTTTATCAAAAGAAATCAACGTTAACTTACCACATAGGTCACTAAGTTAATTGGTTCCAATTTGACAACGAGCTAATATCTGGATTACTCACTGCGTAGCACATTCGATCTCTTATCTCTTCCGTACCAGCCAAAATTTACTTTGAGTAATTAGAATAATTAGAAAGGAGCAGTTCCTGTAAGTAACACCCGCTACCACATAAGAGGTAGTGTACGAAGAATTTATTTCAAGCATTATGCAAAAAATGTGCTCAAGACACGTTTTTAAAGAAATAATGGAATTATTGACCTCAAAAATACAATTTTATGCTTTAAATATCCTCCTTTGTAAAGCAGGTGCTCACAGGGCAGAGAATCGGGTATTAAGTTAGGCTGCGTTGTGAAGTTTTCCACACGCATTGGGCGAAACTCATTCAGGCGGACGCGGACATGTACAAAACTGACTGCAATTGATCCGCATGTGTCAAATAGCCTGAAGATGTATGCGCATCATATCCTCAACTCTGCAGAGAATAATGATGTCAATTAAGCAATTATACACTTTTAAACCCTGCAGCCAATGACTACATAAACATCTGTTTGCCTTAATTTTCATGTGTATAAAATGGAAAGGGTAGGCTATGTGAGTAGGAAGAGGGAAAACAATAAAAAGAAGCCCAAGATTACTTAGTAGATAAGGTTAAGGTAGAGGTGTTCGTTAGCCTAAAAGAGTTCAGAATGAAATATGAGAACTAAAGGGGGCTAGTTGTTCCTACGTCGGGCCTTTGAAGTACATGCGCGGATGCCAGTCGTAGAACACTTGGGGTTGTTGGCCCACATTCACCCATCCTACGTCTGTACCCTTCAAACTACTTCGCCTTCCTACTTTACCATCTTCCTTCTTCTTCCCTTCTTTTTCTCCCATTCTTTACCATCATGTTGCCAGCTCTCTCGCATCGCAATCCATGTATTCTATCACATTGCATAGCATGTTTGTCAATAAAGTGCATTCGGCAGCGATTTCTGAGTGGGCAGCCATGTTGGTGGTAATGCTGCATCTTCTCTTCGTCATACTCGTCATGCCATTGTGTGTTTCAACATGAGTGCAGTCCCATTCATACTCGTGCCATGCAGCTCTGCTAATTACTTTCCATGCGCATTCCTCACTGTATTCACCTCCACCACTTCTGCTGGCAGTTGCAAAATAAAGAGTGTGAACATGACGTTGTGGGCCAGGAATGAAGTGGGACAGAAAGGTGGAAGAGAAAACTGTAACTACTTTAACATGTTTCTATATGCGGTGTCAAAAAGGCGGGGTAGAATAGATAGAGAGAAGTGAAGCATGCAACAATGAAGCAATGAAAGAATGCACAATTGAATGAGTGATGTGGAGTGAGGATTTTAAAGAAGAAAACCGTGGACAGTTCGAAGCAAGATGGAAGGGGTGCAATGCGTAGTTGGTTAGGAAAAGTGCACGCCAAAAGGTGAGACCACCACGCAGAAACCTTTGGTTCCGTCACACCATCGAGGTTATGCTACGTCGGGCCGGGTTAGTACAGCCGATGGTGATGGAAGAGGAACTCTCGTTGTTACTGGCCCAATTAATCTCATCCAAAGCTTCTGCGCTTTTCTTCATTTCCCCTACCTCCCCTTCCCTCTTCCCTCTATCCTTTCTTTCTCCACTTTTTTGTAAAAACATTTTAGTTTGATTTGGACTATTTTCTGTTAAAAAGGAAGGTGGATGCATGCAAATCTGGTAACAACATGCAATCAATTTAGGCATAACTTACATTTGAAAGATGCAACCTACGTACCTTTTGACAAAACATTCCTAGTTTGCAATTAAAAATAGCTTCTGGTACCAAAACTAGTCAATAAACTTTTTAAGTGGCATACCTAACTTAAATGAATTATGTGTATGTGAAAAAGAAAAGTGTTCCCAATGAATATGCACGGCTTAAAAGATTCACAGCCCATTAAAAATGCCCTCTGAAATGACTTTATTCCATTTATGGAGTTGGGTAAGTTCAGCTCTAACGTCTTTATCGTCCATATGGGACGGGTGCTCAGAGGGGCACTTTTATGCTTGTCCTCTACTTTCCTAGCAGTTTGGGTCTTCTCCAATGTCTGCTTGATCCGAACTTAATCGAGGATTTGATAATGGGTCTAACTAGAACATCACCTCTTGAGGCTTGTTACATGACATTCGGTGCATTGGCAGGAGTGAACAGCACTGCCTGCATCTTTAGGATCGACGTCAATTTTAAAATGCAGTCTATTTAAGATAAGATTTCATGTGGGAGAAGATGGAAGATATTGAGATGGTAATGATACTGTTAGGTGTGATCACATCTGGTGTTAAAATGGGTGTGTTGTAGGGGAGTTCAAATCTAACTGTCATTTAAAAAGAAAGGGTTAACTTCATCACGCAGTAGTTGTGGTAAAATCCGCAGCAATTGATTTTCGGGACCCAATGAACACTGGTGGTGTGACACTTTCCTTGACTGCTTTGCATTTTTAAATAAAAATTTGTTAAATCTGGTATAAGTAAGTAATATTGCACCAGAGCCTAAGCGGTAAGAGATAGATGAACTTATTGAAGTTTTAGTAAGAACTTACTTGTTGTTGTATGCTTGTAGTGGTATCGAATTCGCAACATTTCAATTGATGATGTTTATCTTCCTCTCCTTCTGGCAAAATTTAAGCAAAAAATGAGAATTTTCTAGGGGATAATTGGGTAGTTGCTTATGCACTATGACTGTCATTTTACCGAAAATTTAGACCATGCAATTTAGACATGTCAAAATAACAGCGTTGCCGCACCTTTTGCCGAAGCGAAATAGAACACGATTAACCTAACTACATACTTCAGATAGTGTCACATTTCCATGTATATTGTCAGACGTTATATTGTACGTCTTTGAACATGTAGGGTGCTCGATTGATTTGATCAAGTGTCTGATTGCCTACTGCAAATTGCCAGTTTCCAAACACCCTTGATGAACGTGTCGACACACGCCACCGCTACTGGCATTGACCAGTGAGATTCACCCAAATCAACGTATAATGGCCTGGCGAAGGGAGCAGAATAATGATTGGGTTTGAGCAAATTAACTACGGAAATTGATTTACCCTGTCTTCCCTTGTTTTATGTAAAAGCAGTCCGCATAGCACGCGCATACTTACATACAATCTGATGCATTTTGCTAAACTCAATTGTATGTCAGACCTCCAGCATGTATTCAGGAGTTTCTAAGTGGAGATCACGAATGCCATAAGAAGGATGATGGTCTTGGGAGTAGAAGTAGATTGCATGCTAAAATGTTTGTGGTATATTTCAGTTCTGAGTGGTGAAAATTTGCGCATTCCCCTGACACTTGCTTTACCAATCACACAGGATGGCTTTGCAAACGCAGCACCGATACAACCGGTACTGTAAGGCTGAGGTTAGCAGGTGAAACTACTAAGTGCATGCGGCAGTACCTAACAGTCAGCTAGCTACCAATTTACGCACACACATGGTACTAGCTTGCTTGCCCACAACCACCTCCGTAGCAAGGACTTGTCGTCTTTGGTGATTTGCAAAGAGGCATTTGTCTGCTATCGAGTAGCACAAGTACCCTCCTGCACATACGTCAACTGCCAACGCTGAATTGTAGGTGAGTGCGGCAAATGTTGAAGGTAGAAAATAAAGAAATACAACAACTATTGTTATTGCTAATTTGATGATTGCAGCAGTGATGAATCGTCCACTCACTTGTTTGTGCAACCAGTGATCACTGAACACATTATCGGTACTCGATTCATTTGTCGATTGTGCATTCGTTTACAAATGTGTTTGTTTCGTGGATTCAAAGCCCTGACTTAAATCACTCGGTTGAATGATGGTACTTATTAGCACATTAAATTGCATATATAATTAATTTCACTAACGCAAAATTCATTACTTGTGATGCACACATAATGACGTGTTTTCTATGTTGCAACAGCTCAATTCATCCAGCAAACAAATTCGCAGGCTTATCTAGAGGTAACCCAAGCAAACGCTGTGTATTAGCTGATGTGCACATGCAGTATAGGATAGGTATGCCTAATTGAATGTCGTCAAGTTCACTGACATGGTGCTTTCACTGAATTGTTCATGCAGAAGAACGTGCAAATAAACTACCTGAAAAAACCTTATTTAAAGTGCATGCAGTCTAATGCAGAACTAAACCTACTGATTCAAATCCATTTACTGGTAAGCACATGTTGGTTAGCGAATAAGTAAATTCCGCAACGCCAATGTATCCGCAATATCATCTGCGCGATGTTTTAGGAAAATAATTCTACTAACAGTAAATTATCTACTGATAATTATTTCTCCACTTTTATATGCACAAACCCACAAATACTACATGGAAGTGATATATATATGTGGCAATATATTTAATCAAATGCATGCAAGGAAAATCAATCAGGGTCCGCTACTTTCAGTATGTTGTGTTTTAATTCTACCAATGTATATTCACCCAATAAAACAGAGTCCATATTACATGCAATTAGTTTCACTAACGCTGGTTCATAAACTAATGCAGGCACAAGATCATTTACACTAGTGCAAATTCATTCCCTGTTCTTATCATGCAGACTTGCATAAAAACCGCACTGCTAATAAAATTAATCTACAAATAAATGCATAAAAAATGGTGAGCAACTGAGTTTACTAAAAATGTAGTCAATGTTTTCTATAATTGAATCTTATGTAATCAATTCTACTTACCCAGTTTTATTTACAGTTGCGTGGATGCATAATTGTTAAGATAAACTTAACTAACCCTAATCGCACTGCTGCCGATCTGCAGTAATAAATATATTATTATTTTGCTAACAAATTGTTAAGCACTTGTACAAAATGCAGAATGAATAAAAACGACTGCCTGCTTTCAGCCAAAAACTCAATACGACCAAGAGGGTTTTCACTAACTCCAAATAAAAAAACCTAACGTTTTTTTGAACAACTGAGAAGCGATTTGAGTAGGATGAATACTGACAAAAAATACATCTAAATCACGCAGACAGCAAAGCATTCATAACGCCATACATTAATTTTAAATCCTTTTTACTGCGAAAGCTTGGCCTTTTTTGATAGTGGACCTTAAAGCAGTCTACGTTTTCTAGCAGTTATTTACAGCTTAGCTGTGTAAGACTTCTGAACATAAATTACAGTCCACAGTTTATTGCGACTTCATGTCATGGAGAGGCGTTCTATCGTATCTTAATTCACTTGAACATAATAAACTGGCAGCGCAAACTTCATTTCTGGTCTTCAAACACCCTTCTGCGCACCTGATGTTGTACTTCTGCCCCTATTGCTTGTGCAAATTTCAATATCACTCCATTCTAAAGCGCCACGTTGAAGTGAAGCATTGGGGTAAGTACAACTAATTAATTGGATTAAGTCAAGAAGTAGAAGCACAAGTTGTGCTCGATTTTTTCATGTGCTTTTAATACCATAAAACCGTTTCTTTTGAACTGTTAGTAAATCCATTTGCTTTAAGACTCCATCAGATATGTGTGTGAGGACTGTCAAATATCCTTTAGCAAATTCACCTGCCTTCAACATCACCAAGACTTAATTCACCCGGGTAGTCTTCCTTTTACTGCCTTTCACTCTAACTTACCACTGAATGTAGAGCCATCCAGAAGACATGGTTCTTTTCTACGTTTGCTGATCCTGTGCAGATATAACGGATACTTGAAATTACTCATTTGAGGTGAGAAAGGTTTAATGTAAGAACAAATATTTGTATCAAATGCGACCTACTTTTTTGCTTGTTCTGGCAAAATCGGACACCTCGAAGGTTATTTGGAGGCAGGCCACGTTCCAGATGTGACATCCGGTATGTCTAGTAAGCCATGAGCAGCTTTGTTCCCACTCAGCATTTGGGAGGTGATTTTACTTAACTGCTACTGTAGGTTGGACGATTGCTGAAAGACGTGTTTGCCAACAATGCTTTGCTTCTCAGTGCCTTTGCATATTTATTCACTAAGGAGACTCGCGCAAGCTGGAATAGAATTGGTGTTATCAATTTTACCCTGTTTTGGTTATTTTGCGATTTGGAGGGAAGAATTCTGTATTACTAGTGTTTTACAAGTTATTTCAGGGTTTACCATAGAGGAAATGGGATCACAGAATCATGGTGGTGATTACGAAGGAGAAGTAGATAGGAGAGAATTCATCCTTCAGCGTTTGCGCAGATTACAGGTCTTAAGAGCCAGGTCACGCAGAAATACATAGTTGCTGTGGAGTAAGTGTGCTTTTTGATGCGTCCATTTGACCCGAGTATAGTAAATGCATGTAGTTTGGCTTTAGAACTCAGTCAGAAGCAACCCAAAAAACATTGCAAAAGAGTTGTGTGCTGACGTTAACACAGTCAGCATCTCACCTTATAATGCCAATCCCCCATGGCTCAATCAATCTAACGCCCCCACCGACAATGGCAGTCGGTTCAAACAAGTGGTGTTTGTGGAAGGTAGACATGTACACGAACAGCAAGTGCGCATGGAAATGGAACTAAAAACATGATTTTGACTTAGGCATCAGGATGGCATTGGTCATGATCTGACACGATT